AGGGAGGTGGGAGGGGGGACCGGGATGGGGAATACATGTAAATCCATGGCTAATTCATTTCAATGTATGACAAAAACCACTGCAATGTTGTAAACTAATTAGCCTCCAACTAATAAAAATAAATGGAAAAAAACGAAAAACAAAACAAACAAAAAAAAAAACCTTGTTATAAAAGAAGATACAAAAAAAAAAGGTAAAGAAAATCCATCCCAACCTCTGCTGGAGTAAACCAGGTAGCATATTAATCAGTATCTCTCCACCTGTCATCCCCGTGCACATGACCACATGGTTAGGTACACCTCCGTGCACATGATCACATGACTAGGCACACCTCCATGCACATGACCACATCATTAGGTATATGCATCCTGTAACGACCTGGACTACACCAGGAAGACACTCACCTACTTTTCTCATGAACATTTCTTTTCCTGTCATCACAACCTGTAACATATTTTCCATGGCTTTTTATTATTAGAATATATTTATGTAAGTATTTTGTCCCCCCCCCTTTTAAAATCAGTATAAGCATCTTTATGTACAGTTTTCCTTGTGTGCTCAGTCACATCCAAATCTGTGACCCCATCTCCTCTGTCCATGGGATTTCCCAGGCAAGAATACTGGAGTGGGTTGCCATTTTCTTTTCCAGATCTTCCTGACTCGGGGATTGAACCTGCATCTCCTGTGTTGGCAGGTGGATTCTTGACCACTGAGCCACCAGAGAAGCCCCTTGAACGAGTGAGACAATCTTCCTTTGTGTAAGTAAAACCCCTACTGCTAGGATTTGCCAGGTCAGAGTATTTTGATATATATTAACCAGTGAATGTTTACTTTTACTAAGATGTCCAATCCTTGAACACAGAATGCTGTGTTCAAAATTCAAAAGCGTTCTTGTCTACCCCACCCCATTTTTAGGGAGGGGACAACTGGGTGGAATGTGACAAACAATATCCTTGGTTTCTGCCAAACCCACTGCCTAAAGAAGTGTGGATAAAGGATCATGCATAGAAAAGACACCGTGACCAGGACCTGAATGGAAACAATGCAAAGAAATCAATTATTAACAATTTAAGTTTACTAAGAAACTTTTTGTCACTAGTAACTGCTTTTAACACTTTCAGTTACAGTAAAATCCTACCGTAACAAGTTAGGGTACAAAATTTCCAATCATATAAATTGTAATATGTTATTAGACTAATAAAAAGTCTCTTTTGGTGTATAAAATACAAACTAATGATACTAAATATTACACTGCATACAATGGGTAATTCTATACATACGACTGAAGCTGGACAGAGGCTGGTGGTCATTCACAAGCCTCGTCCAAATCGGTATTGTCGTGGGTGGCAGTATTAACGTGAGTGTGTCAATGAATGTTTCCTGAAATCAATCTGATTAAGGCGACTTGCAGGATTCCTCTTGAGTATGTTGTTACAAATTTAGGGGAGGGAATTATTTTGGACCAGAATTTTCAAATATTTGTCCTAATTAGAGGGTTTTTCTACACTTGGTTCAGTAATCGCTGGGGACCTATTAGAAGCCAAACACAGTTCTACACGGTAGAGACACAGTGGTGACAAACAGCCCGCTATGGGTGGAGGGCACCTTCAGCTGACAATGACTGTCTGCACTATACTTTTGTTAGTTCAAGCCCTGCCCATAACCTTCATGTATAAGCCTTCTCTCCTGGGAAAAGGGCAATGGTTCTTCTCGTGTCACATCTTGAGAGGGTATTCAGGGCTCCGGAGTAACCACTGACCATATTTATGGTGACCTCTACAAAGAGGTCACCTCCCAGCTGAAACTTGCTAACACTGCCTCTTCTACAACTTCTTTCCCATGAAGATGCCTCGGAGCTTCCAAGGCCCACAGGAACCTCCCACGATCCCCAGGACAGGACTTTTCCAACAGAGGTGAAGAGGTGGGTTCTCGCTGAGGCCAGCTCCACACCCCCCACCCCTACAGACTCCCTCCCGCGTGGACCCTCTGGTGGTAGACAAGATGCGACCTCTGGCTGAAGCCCTTGCAACATACGTCACATCTGTAGGGCCTCTCCCCCGTGTGGACCCTCTGGTGCGTGTGGAAGTGCGAGGCCTGGCTGAAGCCCTTCCCGCACTGCTGGCACCTGTAGGGTTTCTCTCCCGTGTGCACCCGCTGGTGGGCGCTGAGCCCCGCGCTCCAGCTGAACTCCTTCCCGCACTCCTCGCACTTGAAGGGCTTCTCGCCCGTGTGGATGATCTGATGGACCTGAAGGTTCGACCTCTGGCTGAAGGCCTTGCCGCAGGTACCACACTTGAAGGGTTTCTCCCCGGTGTGGACTCTCTGGTGCGCCTGCAGGTGCGAGGCCTGGCTGAACCGCTTCTGACACGCGGCGCACTTGAACGGCTTCTCGCCGGTGTGGACGCTCTGGTGCGCCTGGAGGTTGGAGGCCTGGCTGAAGCCCTTGCCGCACTCCTCACACTTGTAGGGCTTCTCGCCCGTGTGCACGCGCTGGTGGTTGTGGAGGTTCAGGCTCCAGTTGAAGCGCTTGCCGCACACCTCGCACTTGTAGGGCTTCTCCCCGGTGTGCACGCGCTGGTGGGCCTGGAAGTAGGAGCTCTGGCTGAAGCCCTTCCCGCACTCGCCGCAGCGGAAGGGCTTCTCGCCCGTGTGCACGCGCTGGTGGCTCTGGAAGCTGGAGGCAGAGCTGAAGCCCTTGCCGCACTCCTGGCACTTGTAGGGCTTCTCGCCCGTGTGCACGCGCCGGTGGCTGTGCAGGTTGAAGCTCAGGCTGAAGCGCTTGCCGCACTCCTCGCACTTGTAGGGCTTCTCCTCTGTGTGCACCCGCTGGTGCGTGTGAAGGTTGGAGCTGCAGCTGAAGCGCTTCCCGCAGTCCGCACACCTGTAGGGCTTCTCGCCCGTGTGGATCCTCTCGTGGGCCTGCAGGTGGGACCTCTGCGTGAAGCCCTTGCCGCACGCCTCGCACTTGTAGGGCTTCTCGCCGGTGTGGACCCTGCAGTGGATGTTGAGGTCGGTGCTGCGGCTGAAGCCCTTGCCGCAGCTCTCGCAGCGGTAGGGCTTCTCCCCAGTGTGAATGGGCAGGTGGGCATACAGGTGCGAGGTCTGGTTGAAGCTCTTCCCGCACTCGTGGCACGAGTAGGGCTTCTCCCCGGTGTGGACTCGCTGGTGGGTCTGCAGGTTGGAGCTCTGGCTGAAGCCCTTCCCGCACTCGCGGCACCAGTAGCGCTTCGTCCCCGGGAGGGCGCCCGGTGGAGTGGGGCACGCTGAGCCGTGACCCGGGTCCTTCTTGGGCGTCCCGTGGGTCGGAGACTTCCCGCCCACGTGTAGCCGCTGATGAAGCTCCAGGCTGGCGCAGTCACCGAGTCCTCTCTCACCCTCCTTACAGGGGTAGGCTTTTGGTCCAGCCTCAAGGATGCTTCGCTGGGCTAGCAGTGATGCCTTTAGGTCTTTACCACACTCTCTGGTGCCCTGAGCCTTCTCTCTTTGGGGCACTGTGTGGTCCTCGTGGTGGGGGGAGATACACGCGAAAAAGTCAACACATGGAGCAAACATACAGATCTTGTTCTTCATGGGAATCAGCTGACAGCCCCTCTGGTAATTCTGTGTCCCACTCAGACAGAGTTTACTCCAGGAATTTGGAGCTCTCCCAGCTGGAAATTCTTGATTTTCAATAATGTCAGAATGACCTTCTATAAGAGTCACAAAACAGCTGCCTTCCATGGAAGCCTGGGCAGATACTCCTGCAGGGGAATTATGTTGTTTGGGGGACTGAGAACTCTTCTCTTGAATATTTATCACAGAGTTTTGGCTTTTGGTTGATTTGCTCACAACGTGTCTGATCTGCCAGCAGGAAAGCTCTCCCAGTGAAAGGCACCTCACTCCTGTGTCCTGAACAGTTCCCATCTCATGATTCCTGCCTCCTGAAAGGGAAAGAATAAGGAATTACGGAAGGAGAGCGTGACATCACCAACATGGTGGGCCAGGCAGCTCCAAGCCCTTGATCCCACCTTTGGAACATTCAGTAAGCAACTAGAGACTGGGGGAAATGCCTTCATCAGAGTTCTGAAAAACAAAGGTCTACAGAAACCAAGAGAACATCCAATGAAGAAAAAGCCAAATTTAAAAAGGTATGGCAGGGGAGTAGAAAAAAATTAAATTAAAAAAATGGGCTATTTGGGATCAGTTGAGAGTGAGGTGTGCCCATATCCTTAGTGGATGCAGACATGGGTGAGATGGAGCGTCTGGACTGAAAAACAGCTGCCAGAACCCAAGACAGACACAAAAGTGTGACACTAACACATGTGATTTACCCAAAAGAATGAGAAGAGGACAAAGATGAACAAAATAGATGAGCACCCCACCCCCAACAAAAGTGACTGTTAACATACCTGTTTCACTAACTATATTATGTGGAAGCAGACTCCCCTAAAATCTCTACCTGCATTCAGTCAGAAGGAAACAAGAGGCATACAGATTGGGAAGGAAAGGAAAAGAATATATTTGCAAAAGTTATGAATTGGCATAAAAAGCTTCAGGAATGTACAAAAATGCATTCAGAATAGGTGAATATGGGAAAGTTGCTGGCTACAGGATTGTACAAAAATCTATTCAGATGTAGTACAACAGAAGCAAATAACCGGAAAATGGAATTAACTATCATATAGCATCGAAAAAAACACTTCTGAAAAAGAAGACATACACTTGCTATACATTACATGCTATAAAGGTGAATTGTGATTTATAATGTATCATCTTCCATGGTTCCTGGCTCATGGCTCCAAAGGGGAAAGAGCAATGGGAGTGTCTTTTGTTCTAATATTTGGTTTTTTACTTTGTTCTAATATTTTGGCCCCTGTTCCTGAAATGGCTTCAGAGCCCTAAGGATGAAATGGGTGTCTTATTATTCATAACAAGCCCAGGATGCTTCATGAATTGATGAATAAGTCCACTTAGATCTTCACATTTACTGCATTGAATTCTGTCTCGTATCAGATCAGTAGCAGCAACAAGATCCCCAAGCAGAACTTCCGAGGGTGTTCTGGGACATATACCTGTTTCACTAACTATATTATGTGGAAGCAGACTCCCCTAAAATCTCTACCTGCATTCAGTCAGAAGGAAACAAGAGGCATACAGATTGGGAAGGAAAGGAAAAGAATATATTTGCAAAAGTTATGAATTGGCATAAAAATCTTTAGGAATGTACAAAAATGCATTCAGAATAGGTGAATATGGGAAAGTTGCTGGCTACAGGATTGTACAAAAATCTATTCAGATGTAGTACAATAGAAGCAGATAACCGGAAAATGGAATTAACTATCATATAGCATCGAAAAAAACACTTCTGAAAAAGAAGACATACACTTGCTATACATTACATGCTATAAAGGTGAATTGTGATTTATAATGTATCATCTTCCATGGTTCCTGGCTCATGGCTCCAAAGGGGAAAGAGCAATGGGAGTGTCTTTTGTTCTAATATTTGGTTTTTTACTTTGTTCTAATATTTTGGCCCCTGTTCCTGAAATGGCTTCAGAGCCCTAAGGATGAAATGGGTGTCTTATTATTCATAACAAGCCCAGGATGCTTCATGAATTGATGAATAAGTCCACTTAGATCTTCACATTTACTGCATTGAATTCTGTCTCGTATCAGATCAGTAGCAGCAACAAGATCCCCAAGCAGAACTTCCGAGGGTGTTCTGGGACAGTAAGAAACATAGGCATGGCGTCAGGAGAACCATTCTGAGTTCACACTTTCTCGCCATTTCTGGGGACTGCTGGTATGTGTTCAAAGTGTTCCTGAATTTGTGTTACGTGTCCTGGCATGAAATGTTATAAATGTTGTCTGTCATCAAAACTGAGGCTCAGACTGAAAGGACTGAACCCGTCTCAGGGAAGTGCCCTCACTGACTTTCACGTGAAAGCAGCAGCAAATGTACACTGTGGTGTGTGTGGACAAGGTCCACTCTGCTTTTGTAGAGAGTGACCCCTCAACGCCAGATGTCCTTGTCACCTGGCAACAGCTGGCTCCTGAGTCAGACTGAGATGTGCAAGCAATTTAAGGGATAGTCAGGGCTCCAGGAAACCCAAGCTGGCTGCTCGGCTCTCCCCAGCTCCCTGGAAAATCCCATTGTTGGTGTTTGCATTCCTTCACCCACCACAGCGTGTTTGGGAAAAATCTTTAGGTCAAGACTCTGTACAGCCTGGTGACTATGGTTATAATATTGTACGGCATATTTGAAAGTCACTGAGAGGAGACCTTAAGACAGGAGACCTTGAAAGTTTTCATCACAAGAAGAAAAAATTCTAAGTATATGTGGTGATGGATGTTAACTAGACTCATGGTGATCATTTTGTCATGTATACAAATGTTGGTTCATTACGTTGCACACCTGAAATTAATGTTAATTACCTCAATTTAAAAATTTAAAAGAAAAAGTAAAATCATCTTTGTCCCTAGAGGCCTCAGACCTGCTCTTTGTGGGACCTGCTCTTTGTGGATCATCTGAACCCTCGACAGCAGGGATTCACTCAAGGGCCACTCACTGTGGGTCACCAGGTGGGATGTCTTCCAGGTGGTAAAGGCTTTCCCGGCCACAAGCGCCCTCATGGTGGCAAAGAAACTGTTAAAGAATGTGCTTCCTGCTTGGGGTGCACCCAGTCTCTAATGATCGAGGCACCCACATCAACCGGGCACATCACATGAAAACACTACGAACTTCTTGGAAGGATCACTGCCCTGTTGACCACAATCATCAGGCAAGGTTGAAAGAATGGGAAAAAGATTCAAGGAGAATTGTGTTAATTACAGGGCAACAGAGACTGAGGAGGATGCTCTGATGTTTTTTGTTTTGCCAGATTTAGAGAGACCTTTTCTTCTCTCAGGTTACCTATGACTTACAACAATATGGTACAATATACTTTTGTTAGCACAGATGAGACATCTACTTTAAAAAAAGTTTACTTATTTCTTTGGTTGTACCAGGTCTTCTTTGTGGCATGTGAGCTTTTACTTGCAGCATGTGGGATCTAGTTCGCTGATCAGGGATGAAATTCCAGCCCCCTGCATAGAGAGCACAGAGGCTTAGCCACTGGACATCTAGCCCCGAGACCTCTATTTTTTAACCTTAACTGATCCTTCCAGAATTCAGGAAGTCTCAGTGACTATTCTTATTTTCCTGACAGTATATCTGTTCACATAAATTCAGTAAGAATCTGTTCTTGTGACAGGACACAAACTGAAACACCATTGTTTACCCAGGCTTGACTGGAATGTCGTATTTGAGAGACAGGTGTAGGCTCGGATGTGCCCACACAGCTTCAGGGAACTGCTTGGAGCAACTGAGCCTGTACCTGGCTTTCAGGCTTCCAGGAAAGCAATCTTAGAAGAGATTTAATGTGATCAGCCACCTTTCCTGCTGTGCTTACATAGAACAGTTGGGCCAAGTTTAACACAAACAAATGAGCTTTACTGCAATCATCTCTGGTTAAAGAAAAAAGGGCAGGGGAGTAATTATAGAGAAAAAAAATGGTTTACCTCTGTAGCTATTAGATTCTACTCCTGCTAATTGTCTTGGAGCTTTTTTAACATGTCTGTAAACTGGCCTGGATCCTGAATTTTCGTAGTTTCCTCAAATATCTAGCTCTGATTCAAATTAATGCTTCCAATATTCTCCCACCCTGATTTGGAGTCAGGAAGAAGGAAAGCAGCCCTCAAGCCCCTTCAGAAAGGACCTCACCAAGTGCGCTTGTCCACTGACACTTCAGGGAAACTAGAAGGTACGCTGGGGACCTCCTGACCACAGTGACCTGGGAGCAAGGCAGCTGACACTAGGGTAGACAACTGCCTTAGCCCAAGACGCCAGACCCAGGCTTTAACTAAGTGTGAATCCGGTTCTTTACTCTGGCATTGACCTGGGGAGATTATACCCCACTTGCATCGCTCAGGCCACAACTAAGGGGGTAATGTCTGAAATTCAGAATAGCTTTTCTCCTAACCTTAAAAGTTAACAGACCCCTGGTTTGAATGATAACAAACAGATAACAGTTCTTACAAATGAATCCACTAACAGTGCCATCTTCACAGAAGTAGTTTGTGCCCTGACAAGGCTTCTCTTTCTCTGGGGTGATTATGCTTCTCCTTAGGCCTGTGGCTGCCTCAATGGTGGCGCACAGCTGGGTGATGCCAGTCAGTTACATAACCACGCCCCCTACCTGCTCTAGAAAGGGCCTGGACTGCCATTCTGGACTTGAAGTTGCTCAGTCGTGTCCGACTCTTTGCGGCCCCATGGACAGTAGCCTGCACCAGGCTCCTCCGTCCATGGGATTTTCTAGGCAAGAGTACTGGAGTGGGTTGCCATTTCCTTCTCCAGGGAATCTTCCCGACCCAGGGATCGAACCCAGGTCTCCCGCATTGTAGACAGACGCTTTACCGTCTGAGNTCCTCCGTCCATGGGATTTTCTAGGCAAGAGTACTGGAGTGGGTTGCCATTTCCTTCTCCAGGGAATCTTCCCGACCCAGGGATCGAACCCAGGTCTCCCGCATTGTAGACAGACGCTTTACCGTCTGAGCCACCAGGAGTCATATATTTCTTTGAGCCCCTTTTTTATGGGGGGGGGGGCCAAGAATACTGGAGTGGGTTGCCATTCCCTTCTCCAGATCTTCCCGACCCAGGGATTGAACCTAGGTCTCCTGCGTTGTAGGCAGATGCTTTACCCTGAGCCGCCAGGGAAGTAAAGAAAGGGCCTACTGGGAGGCTTTTCCTGATTCAGGATCCGCTTCCTTTGGCAGGGCCCTACTTCCCCGATTAAGAGTAGATTATAAGTGAGGCTGTGATCAGAAACCTTAACTCTTGCAGAGACTGCAGATTCCGTTGCTACGACACTAACTGCCCAGAGAAATATATGGACCTTCTTCTGGTCAAGGCTGTTGCTAATAGGATTGTTGTTGTTTAGCCGCTTAATCTTGTCTGACTCTTTGTGACCCCATGGACTGTAGCCCGCCAGGCTCCTCTGTCCATGGGGTTTCCCAGGCAAGAATATTAGAGTGGGTTGCCATTTTCTCTTTCAGGGGATCTTCACGACCCAAGAATTGAGCCCACATCTCTGCTGAGCAGGGAGATTCTTTACCACTGAGCCACCTTGGAAGCCTGCCTAACAGGATGGCCCTTGATTATCTTCCAGCTGAGTGAGGTGATGTCTGTGCTGTGGCCAGCACCACCTCCTGCACCTGGGTTAACACTTCTGGAGAAGCTGAAACGCAGGTACAGAAGATCACTAAGGAGGCCACCTGACTTAAGATGACTTCATGCTATACACAGAAAATCCTTAGGACGCTACTAGAAAACTATTAGAATTCGTCAATGAATTTGGTCAAGTTGCAGGAGACAAAATTAACACAACAGAAATTTCCTGCATTCCTATCACACTAACAACAAAAGATCAGGAGAGAAATTAAGGGAAAAATCCCATTTACCACTGCATCAAAAAGAATAAAGTATCTAGGAATAAAAAACGAGGAAAAAGATCTGTACTCTGAAAACTGTAAGACACTGATAAAAAACAGACATGATAATAGAAATTCTCTGGTGGGGTTAAAAAAAAGATGATAGGTGTTAAAACTGCACTCATTTTTATTACATATACCCTCAGGTTGGTGCTTTTGTATATGATTATCAATCACATTCACAATTTTAGAATAAACTAATTTTCTGTATTATATGTTGAGATTCTCCCACTTCTGCAGTAGCTGGTGCACTTGCCAGAAGATGGCAAACGGGCAGCTTAGGGGCCCACGGAAATGCTAACAGGTTTCACATCAGTGCCTCTACTAAGAGCAAACAGGCTTTAAAAAGCCCTGACTCACCCACTGACAAGCTATGTGACATTTTCTAAGGCATAAGTTTCACCCCATAAAAAAGAGATAACCACCCAGGTGGTCAGGACTATTCCCAAGGATTGAATGCATAAGGTGCTTTTTTTTTCTTGTAGCACTGCGAGGTTTGTGGGATCTCAGTTCCCGGAACAGGGGATGAACCCAGGCCCTTGGCAGTGAAAGCACGCAGTCCTAACTACTGGACCACCAGGGAATTCACAAGGTGATTCTTATAATACTAATGATAAAATTAAGAGTATGACCAAATTACACAAATTAAACTTACTCAGAATGGCAGAAGGTTCATTTCTGTAATTTCTTCTCTGTTCCTACACAGAGCCTCCGTGTTGACCCAGCTGCAAAATCTGTGACTTCTATAAATGTCACATTTGAAATGTAGAAAACGTCACTGAGGCCATATGATTGTTTAAGTGCTGGAGAGAGGGGCAGAGAGGGTCAGATGACTGCCTGCCTGGCTGGGAATATGGATTCCACACAGAAAAAACAGCTAAAACCAATAAATGAATTCAGCAAAGTAGCAGGGTATAATGTTAACATACAAAGATTAGGTTGCATTTCTAGCCATTGTAGAAAACAGTATGGAGGTTTCTCAGAAAACTAAAAATGGAATTACTATATGCTCCAGCAATCCCACTCCTGGGCATATATTCAGCCAAAATGATAATTCAAAAAGATACACGCACCCCTATATTCACAGCAGCACTAGTCACAATAGTTAAGATATGGAAACAACCTGAATAGCGGAGCAGATAAAGATGTGGTGTGTACGTATGTATATATAATAGAATACTACTCAGCCATGAAAAGAATGAATGCCACTTGCAGCAACATGGATGCAACTAGAGATTATTAAGTGAAGTAAGAGAAAGACAAATACCATATGATGTCATTTCTATGTGAAAACTGAAATCTGACACAGATGTACTTATCTATGAAACAGAAACATGGACACAGACTGGTGGCTGTGAAGGGACATGGGGGGATGGAGGGATGAACTGGAAGTCTGGGGTTAGCAGATAAAGCTTTGATATACAGAATGGATAAACAAAGTCCCACTATATAGCATAGGGAACTGTATTTAATATACTGATAAACCATAATGGAAAAGAATTATGTAAAAAAGAATGTGTATGTATGTATATCTGAATCACTTTGTTTACAACACAAAATACATCACTGCGAGGTTTGTGGGATCTCAGTTCCCGGAACAGGGGATGAACCCAGGCCCTTGGAAGTGAAAGCACGCAGTCCTAACTACTGGACCACCAGGGAATTCACAAGGTGATTCTTATAATACTAATGATAAAATTAAGAGTATTACCAAATTACACAAATTAAACTTACTCAGAATGGCAGAAGGTTCATTTCTGTAATTTCTTCTCTGTTCCTACACAGAGCCTCCGTGTTGACCCAGCTGCAAAATCTGTGACTTCTATAAATGTCACATTTGAAATGTAGAAAACGTCACTGAGGCCATATGATTGTTTAAGTGCTGGAGAGAGGGGCAGAGAGGGTCAGATGACTGCCTGCCTGGCTGGGAATATGGATTCCACACAGAAAAAACAGCTAAAACCAATAAATGAATTCAACAAAGTAGCAGGGTATAATGTTAACATACAAAGATTAGGTTGCATTTCTAGCCATTGTAGAAAACAGTAGGGAGGTTTCTCAGAAAACTAAAAATGGAATTACTATATGCTCCAGCAATCCCACTCCTGGGCATATATTCAGCCAAAATGATAATTCAAAAAGATACACGCACCCCTATATTCACAGCAGCACTAGTCACAATAGTTAAGACATGGAAACAACCTGAATAGCGGAGCAGATAAAGATGTGGTGTGTACGTATGTATATATAATAGAATACTACTCAGCCATGAAAAGAATGAATGCCACTTGCAGCAACATGGATGCAACTAGAGATTATTAAGTGAAGTAAGAGAAAGACAAATACCATATGATGTCATTTCTATGTGAAAACTGAAATCTGACACAGATGTACTTATCTATGAAACAAAACATGGACACAGACTGGTGGCTGTGAAGGGACATGGGGGGATGGAGGGATGAACTGGAAGTCTGGGGTTAGCAGATAAAGCTTTGATATACAGAATGGATAAACAAAGTCCCACTATATAGCATAGGGAACTGTATTTAATATACTGATAAACCATAATGGAAAAGAATTATGTAAAAAAGAATGTGTATGTATGTATATCTGAATCACTTTGTTTACAACACAAAATACAGCATTGTAACTTAACTGTACTGCAATTAAAAAAACCCAAATTAACTGCATTTCTATACTCAATGAACAATTTGAAAACAAAGAAAAAATTCCATTTATAATAGTATCAAAAAGAGTAAAATACTTAGGAACGAACCAAGGAGGTGAAAGGCTTGTACAATGAAAGCTCCAGAACACTGGTCCACAGATGGGGATTTAATATTGCTTTGCCAGTGCCACCCAGAGGGATCTACAGATTCAACACAATCCTTGTCAAACATCCCAACACAGAAATAGGAAAACTCATCCTAAAACTCATACAGAATCTTGGGATTGCCCTGGTGGTCCAGTGGTTAAGACTCTGTTTCCACTGCAGGGAGCTCGGGTTCCATCCCTGGTCAGGAAACCAAGACCCCCACAGGCTGCACAGCACAGCCAAAAACAAAAAACATAAAAGTAAAAGGAGGGGGCCAGAGAAGGCTGTGGGTGAGACAGCTCCTGAGTAGAGGATGAGGGGTCGAAGGTTTGCAGGCTAGCAGCCTTCCGGCCAGAAGAAAGAGAGGAAACGGTCCTCGTGTAGAAACATAAACCTCGGATGTGAGAACAGAGGACATGGGAGGGGGATGTGACAGGAGGGAAACGCAGGGTGGTAGGCTGGGTGAATGGGCCCTTAAACACATCGGACTTTATTCCAAGTGGAGTGGGGGGCTGGGGGCGGGGCTGGAGGCCTGAAGTGCCGGACTGTGAGGTGACTGGGCTTTTCAAAGGGCCCCTCTGGCTGCTGCGTGAAGACACAGATGCTCCAGACAGACGCCGGGTAACGGGGCCCGGCCACACAGTTCTCACCTGAACGCCCTCCTCTCTGGGGCTGGATCCCTGTTGTCCAGAGCTTCTCCTCTCTCTCCAACTGGGATATCATGTCTGGCTTGGAGGACTGGTGCCCTGAGGGAAAAAAGGAGGAAAAAAGTTCTGAACAATTCTGGTTCCAATCCCATGATGAACATTTTTCATCAGACCCACTGTGAGAAATACACATAGTCTCATCAGTGACTACCCCACATAAACTACTGAAATAAAAGCTAGAATGACCTGTGTCTCACCGTGGTCATCACATCCTTTTCAGACTCCCACACTCCTTACTGCAGGCACTGCAGTTACTGCTACAACCTGCACCATTCTTGCTGAGGGGCTCTGATGTTGCTACTTTATTCTACATTATTGTAAGAATGCCAATGCAATTTACTAATTTCATGATGCCCCAATGGCTCAGGACCCACAAGTTTACAAAAGATAATATGAAAGGGTTTTGTGTGGGGTTTTTTTTTTTTGGCCACAAGGCATGTAGGATCTTAGCTCCCCAACCAGGGATCGAACCTGCACTCCCTGCATTGGAAGGCGAATTCTTAACCACTGGACCACCTGGGGAAGTCTCAAAGAGAGGGTTAAATTTGGGATTTAAAAAAAGCAAGCTATAATATGAAATAAGGAGCCAGGTGCAGTCAAGCTCGACTGTTCACACAATTCATTTACAAAAGACTAATGTTTACCTTGGAACAAAGACTAGGAACATTTTGTCTCTGTGTTTTCCAAAGGGACTGGAAAACTGGTCTCTGAGGAGTCCCAAAGTCTTGAAGTAGCAGCCAGAGGGCCAGGGATGCTACTAAACATCCTAAAATGCTCAGGAGAGTCTCCAAGACAGATCACCTGGCCCCAAAAGTCAGTCGTGCTGACGCAGGGAACCCTACGGGAGTGATGCCAAGTCACAGGGCGCCATCCTCACCCACGGACAGCAGGTTCCGGAAGTTCTCCAGCATCACGTCTCGGTACAGCTTCCTCTGGGCCAAGTCCAGCAGCCCCAGCTCCTCCTCGGTGAAAGTCACAGCCACATCCTTGAAGGTCAATGCCTCCTACAACACCAAACACATGTAGCCTCAGTCCTCTGACCAACTGCCTTTGAGGGAAGGGCAGCACGGAGACGGTGGAGGAGACACGTGGGAAGCTCTTCCAGATTCTAAGTGACCTGAACCTCCTTTTAGGAGATGGTCTCCTCTTCCCCTTCCACAGTCACCCCAGAGACGCGGGGGTGTAAGGGGGATGGTGGAGGAAGGAACAAAAAGGAAAAATTCTAAAACCTTTCGTACACGCAACACAGCGCCCTTTGTATAGTCATGTCTCTAGAATTGTTGTCCTTCAGTCATGGTATATATGCATTTTACAATTTGAAAGTGCCACATTTTGTAAGAAATGTTGAGTTCATTGGCTCCCAACAGTATGTAACAGTCCATCTCCTTCTCTCAGTGGGCAGTACCACAATTTTGTCAATGCCTGCCCATCTAACCAGCCTTCAGTAGCCAAGTGGAGGCAGGTATGTAGTTCACTCTGTCTCAGGGATGTGCCGTATCTGTCCGGGCAGCATTCGATGCCAAGGTGGAAAACACAGGTTTTGGAGACTGAGCACTTCAGTTCACACTCTGTGGCTCTACTTCTAGCTTTACGATCTTGGACAAGTCACCTAACGTCTCAATCCCTCAATCTCCTCATCTGCACAAAAGCATATCATCAGGGACTTCCCCAGTGGTCCAGTGGCTAAGTCAGAACTCCCAATAGAGGGGGCCTAGGTTCAATCCCACATGCTGCATCTAAGACCCAATGCTGCCAAATAGATAAATAATTAATTAAAAAAAAAAAAAAAAGGGAACTCACCATAGGGTACTTGAAGGGATTAAGAGAGAATGTACAAAAGATTTAGGATAGTATCTGACACGTGTCATTAAAAACTCAACAAATGTCAGCCACCACTATTCCTGTTATTATTTGTGTCTGCCTGGTATTCACACAAGTGAAAAATACATATTTACTCATTCCAAATGATACAAAAGTTTAAGAATTTAAACCTATTAATGATGCTGCAAAAACAAACAAACATATAGATCTCAGTCTGGTTATATTTCCTTAGGTTAAGTTCCAAGAAGTGGCAACCGCACTATCAAAAAATATGCACCTCTGGGGACTTCCCTGGTGGTCCAGTGGTTAAGAATCACCTGCCAAGTGCAATACTCTAAAGCAATTATCCTTCAGGTAAAAAGAAAAGAAAAAAAAGAATCCACCTGCCAAGGTGGGGGACAGGAGTTCCATTCCTGGTCCAGGAGGATCCCACATGCTTCTGGGCAACTAGGCCCGTGCACCACAGTTCCTAAGCCCACGTGCCTAGAGCCCCTACGCTGCAACAAGAGGTGTCACCGCAGTGAGAAGCCCACGCACCAAAACCAGAGGGTGGGCTCGCTCTCCACAACTAGAGAAAGCCCGAACACACCAAAGACCCAGCACAGCGAAGGCCAATAAATAAAGTCAAATACCACAGGGCTGCATAGAGTCGGACATGACTGAGCAATTGAGCACGGCACAAAATAAAATACTTTAGATTAAAAAAAAAAAAAAAAAAGAATGTCTGCCAATACAGGGGACCCAGTTTCGATTCCTGGTCCAGGAAGATTCCCTTGCACCCTGACTACTTAGCCCGAGCTCCAGAGGCCATGCTGCACAAGAGAAGCCACAGCAGTGAGAAGCCCGTTCACCACCCACAGGCAGCAACAAAAAAGACCCAGCAGAGCCATAAATAAATAAATAAGACCATTAATCTAAAGGCTTTGCTCATCTCTGCATTTGTTCTGACTGGAGTCCTGAGCACTGATGTATTAAACAACTAGCTGACACATCTGGCAAAGAAGAGACAGGTGCTAAGAAAAGGCACGACGTGAGGGGAGTGTTATTTTTGGAGTCCTCCAGCCACAGGCCCTGCTAGGCGTCTGCACGACTTGGCCTCAGGGACCAGAATGCAGCAGTCTCTTCTCCTGGCTGTCTCCATTTACCCTCATCCAACTCCCGAAAAAGACCTAGCCCAGGCAATGGAAACTCTAGTGTCAGCTGGGGACTGAGTGGATTTTAACAGGAAACTGAAAGCTCACAAATCTGTTTGTTAAAATGCAGCTGTATCTTTATACAGGGCATCTATGGTAAAGAACCCACCTGCCAATGCAGGAGACTCAGGGTTCAATCCCTGGGTCAGGAAGATCCCCTGAAGAAGGAAATGGCAACCCACTCTAATATTCTTGCCTGGAAAATTCCATGGACAGAGGAGCCTGGGGGGCTACTGTCCACGGGGTCGCAAAGAGTCAGACACGACTGAGCACATACACATATCCTTACAGTTGCTCCATAGAGTAAATGCCTGGTTAAGTCCCTGCTGCTACTAGACTTCCCAACCTCAAGTGTGTAGCTCTAAAACATGCTCACACGGCAATGAATAAAGCAGACACTTAACTATAATACATACACGTGTAACTTAGAATTACAGAATCTAGTCCTTCTTGGAACTTCCCTGGTGGTTCAGTGGCTGCCTCCATGCTCCCAATGCAGGGGGGCACGGTTTGATCCCTGGTCAGGGAATTAGATCGCACATGTTCCAACTAAGACCCAGCACAGCCAGATAAATAAATTACTCAAAGAAAAAAAAAAAAAACAAAAAAACCTCTACTTCTTTTTGTTTGAAAATAGAACTGTTTTCTCTGAGTTCAGTATCAGTTGGATTCTGTTACACCAAACCATATTTTAGACATTTTAGCCACAAAAGTTGAGGCTCCTCATGAGAAAAATGAGCTCTGAAAATTTTAGAAAGAAAATGGCAGAGCACTCAGAACTCCTGTTAGGGAAGAAAGGTTATATGTAGGAAAACTGTCACTGCAAACATTTTGAAATGGTAAAATTCATTGTTGTTTAGTTGCTAAAGTCATGCCCAGCTCTTTGCAACCCCATGGACTGTTGCCCGCCAGGCTCCTCTGTCCATGGGATTCTCCAGGCAAGAATACTGGGGTGGGTTGCCATTCCCTTCTCTAGGGGATCTTCCCAGTCCAAGAACTGAACCCAAGTCTCCTGCTTTACATGTGGGTTCTTTATCACTGAGCCACCAGGGAAGCCCAGTAAAATTCATAAACCACATTAATATGGACAGTAGGGGAAAAATATTAGGTAAACTATGGAAAGTGATGTGACCATTTAAGTTGTAGGTGCTATACAATTAAATTTTAAAAATCCAAAATGGTACTGAAGCTATCATCACAAATCTACACATGTAAATACAAACGAAAAGGAATGTGGGAAGATGAAAACTGATTTGTAAACATGTTTATAATGTGGGAGGTGTTTTGTATTTTTTAAAAATATTAATTTGGGAGACGTCCCTAGTGGTCCAGTGGTTAAGAATCTACCTTGCAATGTAAGGGACTCCAGTTTGATCCCTGGTGGGGGAACTAAGATCCCACATGTCATGGTGCAGCTAAGCCCACGGGTCACGAGTACTGAAGCCTGGGAGCCACAACTAGAGTCTGTGTCCTGCTACAAAATATCCCACATGACGCAACTAAGCCCTGATGCAGCCAAGTAAATATTTAAAAAAATTTTTTTCACACCATTATTTGGAAATAAAAAGCAAGGGCCCATCACACAGTTCCTCAGGTGACTCTGGTTCCCTCTTACCTTTCCTGAGCAAGAGAGAAACATGTCCAGTCTTTGTGAAACGAGATGTCATTTTAAGAAACAGAAAAGCAAGTCTGACTTACCTGGAATTTGGTCATTTTTTTCTCCCTCTTCCTTCTGGGGAAAGGCCAAGTTCTGGGAAGGCAAAACTGGGGAAGGGAAAGAAAGCCACGGTGAGATCACAGCTGCCGGGATGGCTGGTGCACGTGGGGCTAAATGTGATCAGGAAGAGAATCCCCTTTCTCTCGGCAATCGCAGTGATGACGTAACCCCGTGAGAAGAGAGCTGGATTCCAGTTCCCCCGGCCCCCTTGGCCAGCTGCCTGAGTTCACGATCAACCCGGAAACAGCCCTACCCTAAGTGTTTCTTATAAGCTCCCAGGGTATTCCTGAGGCTGGCTCTCAGAGGAAATGAGATGCAGACAGGCAGTACCAACAACTGAATGGGGCCAAAATGCCTGCGGTCCAATTCCAGCATTTCTACTTGTTTTCTACTTACTAGTCGCATAAACCTTGAGCAGGTTGTTAATCTCTCTGTACTCAATCCAGTCTACTTGTAAATAAATGGGCATAACAGTGCCCTAACTCCCTGTTTCCTGCAGCTTCCGACAAGGAGGTCCCCTTAAGACTCATAAAACTTCCTTTGTGAATCCGCTTCACAGAAGACGGTTCTTAGGGAACACAGACTTCAGAGATGATGGCTCTTGAGTTTCACTCACTTTCAGAAAAAGATCTAATTCGGACAAGTGATCTCACAGGTGATTTGTGCTGTTGTTAATGAAGGTTAAATGGTCAAGGAATTTTCCTTCTTAATAAGCTTAACTACTTGCATGTGTTGTTAAGCTGGAGTCAACTAAGTTTCTTCTAGAATATGCGTGAAGGTAAACAATGACTAATATAAACCTAAGACTAAGAAATCATGGTGCATTTAAATTAATGACACAGGGTTGTTACACAATACTAGGCATTTTTAAAAATTAAGCCCTGGCTAGGCTGCAGGCACTGTGCAAAGCTGTGAGCAGGATCATTTTGAAATGAAGCAAGACCCTGTGGGTCCCTCCCCCACATAGTCTCAGCCCGCCTTTTGTCTGTGGAAAAACTTTAGCCAAAGAATAAGTTTAATCAGAGAAGTGAGAACATGCAGAAAAAAACGGAAAACAGTCCAAGGAGACCAAATGATAATAGTTTGGTCATTAAGCACAGTCAGGGACCTTTAGTTCCTTCTCAGCAGCTATAGATAATATTCTGAGTCCTATCCTGTGTGCTGTCTTCTAGCTACTGAAACTTCCACCAGGTGGAAGAAGTTAACTACAGGATGACCAGACTGTAGCCATGACATAAGCTGCCATTCCAAGGACTGGCCTCAAAGAAATGGGAACCAACCAACCCTGGAACTGAAGATTAGCTGTACCTTAAACAACTAAGATGATGCTAGTCAGACCACTGATGACCAATTTCAAGACGACTGTCACAGCTGACTGTGCTGTTACTGCAGGTTGTCCCCTCCTCCCTCTGTCTATAAAAGCTCTTGCCCACTGACTGGCGGTGGGGGTGCTTAGTCTTTGGACAGGTGTTCCCCTCCTTGTCAGCATCCAGAATAAAGCAAACTTTCCTTTCCACCAACCTGATCTCTTCACCGGCTTTTGAGAAACGATCAGCCAGACTCCGCTGTTGTTATAATTTCTCTGTCTGGGATAAACCACACAGGACTTTTCCCTGAATCCAGCTGAAAACAACCTTCCTTCCTAAATAAGTGTCCAGAAAGAGTTCAGGAATCCAGGACCAAACCCACGGTCAGTGATCAGGGAAAGGACAGCGGGGCTGCAGCTGGAGCTCCGACCCCATCCCGGCTGGCAGGAACTTCGCAAACAACAGGACGCCTGAGTGTTTAGTGGACTTTATGGTAACATCCAACATCTTACCGTACTCAGCACTGTTTCTCATCTTTTCAAATATAATCTCAATCCTCAAAAGACCACCACTGGGAAGGAACTAACCAGAGCAAACAGGCAGAGAGATTAAACAAGCCGCTCAATAATTTGCCCAAGAAAGCGACAGAGCTGGCCTCTGGTTCCTCAAGGAGGGCTTGGATAGCAGAGAGCGCGGGAGACCCTCAAACTCGACGCAGGACGCGAGCCCGCCCCCAATTCGCGACTCCAGGGGAGGGCCGCGGCCCCCTCCTGCTCCCCGCCGATCGCCGAGGATTCCCTGCCCTAGGAGCGAGGGCCGGGTCTCTGCTGGCTCTACGCAGAGGCTGGCAAGGATTGCAGGGACGCTGGGTTAACTCACCTCCCGGGCAGCAATCTCGGCCCCAACCTGGCCTTCCCAAAGCGGAAGTGCCTTGGGCTACACACAGTTCCCGGACTACACTTCCCAGAATCACCACGAAGCGCCTCAGATTTCACGCAACTCCTGGACTACATTTCCTAGAATGAAGTTCGCCTCTGCTTCCCACCAGCTCTCCTGGGTTTTGACTGTAGAGAGGGTTCGGATTTAAAGTCGCAGGTGCTGGACCTGTCAAATTCCTTTCTGTTTTATTCAGTTCTTAAAACTCATAAGAAAATAATGCAAGCAGGTAGATTTTTGAGTAACTGTAAATGCAAATTTTTTTAAAAATTCGGCCTTATAAGAGAAAAGCGAGGCTTGCGCTACGAAAATTAAAAAAAAACATTTTTTTTTTTAGGGAAGACAAAAGGTAGACTAAGAAATGGGAACTATAAAAGTAAGGCTGGGCTACCTAACACAGAACTTATGGAACACTGGATTTCTCATTTGCTTCGAATTCTGGCTCCCCAAATATCAGCAACAAAATTTGTTAATGAGACAAAAACGTAGTTTATTGCTTACCGCGGTAAGGGAGAACACCTCCACAGAGCTTCAGCACCTTGGCAGTGTGCACAGAGCCCGGAAGACAAGGTTGGAATTTACTGATAATTGGAAGTTCGATTTAAGGCGGGTTTTTCAGTGCAGAAGAGGAATGGGATTGCTTGACGGTCATGACGCTGTAGTCCAGGACTTGTGGGCGCAGCAACGAGTTTTGTAAGGTGAGAAAACTACAGCTGAAATTGTTGATGCTCTCTATAAATGAGATGGGAGAGTTGATGGGTGCTTGCGGGAGTTTCTCTAAAACTCAAGCCATTTACTTGGGCAGGAATCTTTTGGAATAATAAAGGCATGCCAATAAAACTTACTAGTTATGTTAATGTAAACAGTAAATTGTAGGAGGGAAGGTAGGGGTCACCAACCAGCTGGGGGTTGGTATTGTTAGGGGAACCACTGACTGAAACCACCCACCCTGGCCAGGCATCAGAGTAACCATTTACAGGAGTGCAGAACTCACAAGCTGCCACCAATCACAAGACTTCGAGAAAGGTCAAAAGGAGAGAGGAGATTCCAGTCCATGTGTCCTACCAATCTCCCAGAATCCTTCTGGTTGGAATCCATCTTGGCTGAGCGATGTGAGCACCAGTAGGAAGGAGCCTGAGTTGGAATGATTGGCCAGAGACAACCTGGAAACTAACCCAATTACTATAAAACCCGTGACAGGGTCACATGGCAGAGCAGTCCTCCTGGGTTCCCTTAGCTGCCTGCTCTCCATCTGGGCATCCCTTCCCAATAAAGTCTCTTGCTTTGTCAGCACGTGTGTCTTCTTCACATCCTAATGAAAGCCGAATGTGCTGGCCAAGAGCCCAGCAATGTAACCAGGCTGCTGAGACTTACTCCTGGCTCTGCCATTTCCTGGCTGTGTGACCCTCATTACGAGCCACTGTTCAAGGAACCTCTGTGTCTCTATTCCCTCACCTGTAACCGATGGGTCATATGAGGATTACACAAGCTGATATGTGCAAAGCATTAGAGTCTCTGCCTAAAATAAGTGCTTCATGGCTGCTAATAATTATCATCATTATGATTAAAGTCACCATGTGATACATATAGGAACCATACATTTAGTGCTGGTTTGTTTCTAAAGAAACATGTCTTAGATCATGAAAGTATTATCAATAATTATATGTCTACAACTTGATAACAGAAAACAACCAATTGAAAAATGGGCAGACCTAAAGAGATATTTCTCCAGAAAAGAAATACAGATGGCAATAGGTACATGAAAAATATGCTCAACATCACTAATTATTAGAGAAATGCAAATCAAAACTATGACGAGTTACCACCTTGTGCTGGTCAGAATGGCCATCATTAAAAAGTCTACAAATAACAAATGCTGGAGAGGGTGTGGAGAAAAGGGAACCCTCCTACACTTTTGGTAGGAATGTAAGTTGGTGCAGCCACTATGAAAAACAGTATGGAGGTTCCTCGGAAATAAAGTCGACTTACCATATGATCCAGCAACTCCACTCCTGGACGTATACCCAGACAAAACTATAATTAAAAAAGATACATACACCCCTATGTTCATAGCAGCACTATTCACAACAGCCAAAATATAGAAACAAATGCCTATCAACAGATGAATGGATAAAGATGATGTAGTACATCTATATACACAATGGAATACTACTCAGCCATAAAAAATAATGCCTTATGCAACAACATGGATGCAATTAGAGATTATCATACTAAGTCAGAAAGAGAAAGGCAAATACCATATGATATCACTTACGTGTGGAATCTAAACTATGGCACATATGAACCTATCTACAAAACACAAACAGACTCATAGGACAGATTTGTGGTTGCTAGGCTGAGGGTGGGCAGTGGGAGGGGGATGGACTGGGAGTGTGGGGCTGGTAGATACAAATTATTACATTTAGAATGGATAGATAAGAATGTTGGTTAAAGTTGCTGGCCCCTTGGTCATAAAACAGTGGTACCAAGTATGTAAGCAGTTACTGTATTCTTTTTTTAAAAAACTGCTGCATGGCTTGCAGGATGTTAGTTCCCCAACCAGGGATTGAACCCAAGCTCAGCAGTGAAAGCACAGAGTCCCACCTAGTGGACCACCAGGGAATTCCCAGTTATTGTATTCTTAATTGCCATTCACTCACAGAAAAAAACAGTGATAGTTTTGCTTAAGAATGTACTTGATGAAACAGTAAAAGTTATTAATTTTACCTGGTAATTCAGGTAAATTAGGAACTTGTTTATGAACAACACCCTTTTCTTAAAAGAACAACTGAGAAACTATAGTTGGTTACATCTGGGTATTTGGCAGAACTTTTGGAAGTGAGCACTGTCATTTCAAAGAAAGTTACTGTCAGCATCTGTTGCCAATGACAAAACTTACACTTTCAAGAAACTATAACGGACTTCCCTGATGGTCCAGTGGGTAAAACACCACACTTCCACTGTAGGGTGCATGGTTCAATCCCTGGTAATCCACACGCCATGCATTGTGTCCAAAAGAAAAAGAAAATAAAAGTATCAGAATTTTGGAAAATTTGTATCACTAAGAGCTTGACAGGTTCCCAGTGCTTAAAGACTTCAGGTCTTTAAAGATAGAATTTTTCTGATGAGATGGATGATGGTATTGACAAATGTGATTTTTAAAGGTATTGTGAAATCAATGTATTTGAAAGATCTACAAAACTCAGTCATTTCGTATTTTCCAAACGAGGGATGCATAATTTCACAAAACCACGAATAGATAAAAGACTCAAAAAAGTACAGGACAAACCGAAGAATTTTAATGGAATAGAGTAAGAAGGTACTCTGAGATGGTTTCAGGTTGTACACTGCAATAACCTTAAGAAACCATCACATACGGAACTTGGGTGCAGTATCAAAAGTGAACATTACCTGTAAAGTCTATTAATCTTTTCTTTCTTAATTATAACTGTGGGGCTGGGTTTTTGTCATTAATTCAACCAAAATAATATATCACCACAGGTAACAGAAGATATGAAAATCCAGCTATTTTTCTCATAAAAAATAAAGAGAATTGCAAAAATGTAAACCATTGCTACTCTTCTTGTTAAATCTGTTTTTGGAAATTCAGTTTTCTCATAAAAGCTAGTTCTGTTATTAGTTTATTTTAAAAATGTTAATAAAAGTTTTAAAGTAATTTTTAAAAAGTATTACTATTCCTAAACAATAAATAACACTTTTCATCGGGTCACCCTAAATGTAATTTGTATAAAGCCCTTAGACTGGAACTTAACAACTAAGGTGTAACTACTGGCATCCCTCACAACCAAATAAATAGTGCGAATATCTTTACAGGAGAAGAATGCCAAGTCCTACTCACATGGGGCCCTGGGCCAGGAGCCGAGGGGTCAGTCACTCCCTCCGGTTCAGTTCAGTTCAGTCGTTCAGTCGAGTTCCACTCTTTACAACTCCATGGACTGCAGCAGGCCAGGCTTCCCTGTCCATCACCAACTCGCAGAGCTTGCTCAAACTCATGTCCTTCGAGTTGGTGCTGCCATCCAACCATCTCATCCTCTGTCGTCCCCTTCTCCTCCTGCCTTCAATCTTCCCCAGAATCAGGGTCTTTTCAAATGAGTCAGTTCTTCGATTCAAGAGGCCAAAGTATTGCACCGAAGTGGCCACTCCCTTCACGTCGGCGCAAGTCCTTATGAAGTCAGGGCTGGGGAAGGAAAGGAGTTTGTGAAGTATCACCATGGTCCAAATGAACCACAGAGGGGCTTCCAACGCTATTAGGAAAGAATTGCTATTAATCCATTTTACAGATGTGCAAACAGAGGCATAGAGAGATTATAAAATTTGCCCAATATTACACTGCTAGAAAACGGCTGACATATGGGAGAGGTGAGCTGGGGGAAGTGAGCATGGAAGGGACTGCAACCCGGGCCCCGCGCCCAACTCCGGGTGAGGATATCTCCCCAAACTCTAGCCGACTCCGTCTAATTGAACTAAAAATGTCGTCCTTACACCTCAAACATCCTCTTTCCTCCTTAAACCCACAACCCGGTTGCTGCTGCTTGCAGAGCAACTCTAAGTTCGGAAAAGTTGCCGGAAGCGAAACTGACAATCACTACAAAGGAAGAGTTAGTCACAACCTCGTCCGCCTGGGCCGGAAGTGCCTGCAACTACCTGGTGCCCTAGATCAATGTTTCCCAGAATACCCCATCATGGCCCTTTGGGAACGGAAGTGCCGGGGACACCACGGAGTTCCAGGACTACACTTCCCAGAATGCGGGAGGAGACAACATCCTCTGCCCGGGCCCTCTGGCCGGAAGTGCCTGAGAGTATTCTCAACTCCAGAGAGGTGCTTCCCAGAATGCCGCTGGAGACCGCTGTCCATGGTCCTGCCATGTACTTGTGGCTAAGGGGGGGAGCCTGGACAACACTTTCTACAGTGGCCTAGGGCAACGAAGACTACAGCCCAGTCTTCTAGGACAGAAACGTGGAACACTACCTTAAGTATCTGGATTAAGTTTTCCAGAGCCCTAGAGGGGAAAATATTCGAGAGACATGGTTCTGGAGCCCAAATGGCTCAAAAAAAAAAAAAAAAAAAAAAAAAAAAAGAAAGAAAGAAAGAAAGAAAAGAAAAGAAAGAAAGATCTCTAGAGGACTGAGCACCACTGACAGCTTGTCTGGCCAGAAGTTTCTTTTTCCAGATTCTAGAGTGACTGCAAGGTAATGCTTACTGTCATGAAGCCCTTGGGTGTTATGAATAAGTGGGTTCAATTTGGATGAATTCTGTGCCGCTGACTGAGCCCAGTTTCCCCTTTTATCACTCCCCCCTCTTTTTTCATGTAACTATACTAATAAGCTATTGTCAAGAAAATACCTTGTATAGGAGAGAAAAGTGAAGCTTGAACTATGGAAAGAAAATAAAAATCGTTAAGGAATGGGAGCAATGTGTGAGTTAAAAATGGAGATCTTGAAAGAGGATTGGCCTGAACTGCACTGGAAAATTGAAGGAACACAAGATCTCAGTCTTACCTCGACTGGATTGCCTTCTTTGTTCCATGTGTACCTGGATGCATCTGAAACTCCTACCAGTGTCAGCTGGTGTAGACTGTTGATTCAGAAGTATTCAGTTCAGTTCAGTCACTGTCATGCTGACTCTTTATGACCCCATGGACTGCAGCATGCCAAGCTTCCCTGTTCATCACCAACTCCCTAAGCTTGCTCAAAACGTGTCCATCGAGTTGGTGATGCCATCCAACCATCAGAAATACTAAGAAATCACAAAAAGGCAAATGTTCATCAGGTCATAATGCAGAAGTATTTAAAACTTCCAGCATTTCCTTAGTCTTAATTTCTCACTTTAAAAGTGAATGAAAGCTACACTGGCAGGGAACTGGAGTAAACACTGCAGTATTTAAAAGGGTAAATCCTATATAAAATTTTGAGAATATTTCTTCTTTATCTTGGTATATCACATCACCTACTACTAACCTGCTCTTGGCACAGTAAATCCAATAAATTAATGATATGACTTATTATTCCACAAGCCAGCTGAAATCAGAGAGGCCATGATGCTCAAGTCTAGAAAAACTATACAACAACAAAACTGATTACCACCAAAACTGAAAAATCCCACAAAGTCCAAAAAGGCTGTCCTGTCTACTTTTCAATGGCATAAGAATGAAATAATCTATAGTGAAAACTTAAAAAAATGCACTGGAGAAAAAAGTTAAATGTGCATAAATGCATCTGACAAATAAAACATTATCAACATGCTTCCCCACATACTTCATCTAACTTTTTTCCTTCCTTTTTTTATAACTGAAATAAGTACAAATCCATGATATCTTGTCACTTCTCCCTAAAATATTTTCATATATTTCTCAAAAACATACGGACATTTATTTGCATAACCACAATCTAGGTGGCACAGTGGTGAGTAATCTGCCTGCAGGAGAAGCTGGAGACAAAGGCTCAATCCCTGGGTCAGGAACAGCCCCTGGAACAGGAAATGGCAACCTGCTCTAGTATTCTTGCCTGGGAAATACCATGGACAGAGGAGCCTGGAGGGCTACAGTACATGGGGTTGCAAAGAGTGGGACACAAGTGAACATGCACTCATGCACATATTCATGTAATACCAGTATCACACTGAACAAAATTAATAGTCTCTTTAATATTAATTTACTCTATCCTTATTTGAAGTTCCAAATTCTTTCAAGTTTCTTACACTTGTTTTTTCAGTCAATATCAAAACATGTCCATTCAATGC